TAGTTTAATTTTGAATGTGAAAAATATTTTCGGGTTTCGAAATAAACTGTAAATTATCGACACTGGTCAACTTTTATTAATCTTCATTACACTCTCGTTTAAAATAACCATTTCTGCGTTAAAACGGAACAAATACAATGACGTACAGACTTTCACCTCTATAATACCAAAGTGATTTGTCCATTATGATGTATTATGTGTAGAATAACAATAAAAAACCAAAAGCAACATTCGTTTGGCTACAAACGTACTACTACATAGCTCACGCGCCTATTTTGTATGAATCGATTATTGTACAAAAATAAATCTAATCTTGAGGATGTCTAAGCGCATTTTACGATGACACCGACGAACAGTAACGCTAACCCAGAACACTCTATTGACATTTGACATTGCCCGAGCAATTGTCTACCAAGGTGAAGACGGGGTGACGCGATGCGAGTAGGGTAACCCCCTTCGGTTTAATAAATAATAACAATAATATACTATCCCTATATGTAACTCTATGAACATCTGAGGCGAATGGGACTCTGGGACGAACCACACTGAGCTCAGATGCAGAAGGCGGTGCTCCTTGATATCGCTCGCATCGTCCGTTGGTTTCCCTTCCGCCCTCACCCTGGGCCGTTTGGGTCTCCCCTGGCCGACGGCTTCCGTCTAGTTGGTTTCTATTTATTTATTTATCATATACAATATATAATTATCTGTATGTTTGTTTTAATTTATAAGCCCTACCGAACAAATGGGAACCCCTCATAATATACTATTATTTATTTAATGATCCGAATATTTCTATAAATAGTACGATAATATTATTTTATTACAAACTAGCGACCCGCCCTGGCTTGGCACGGGTGCAATGTATTATATATATATAAACCTTCCTCTTGAATCACTATATCTAGTAAAAAAATATTACAAAATGACAAATATTGACATTAATATTTATACGATACTAACGTCACTCAATTGTTTTGCCTTCCCGGAACCCCTCCACTAACACTTAAACTTTATGATATGGTATTAAAGTTCAAATTGACTTTTAAGTATTATTACTAATCTTTTGTATGGGAATAAAGAAAAGTGTTGTTTTTAGACTTTCAGGCAAATTTTTTAAATTGTTCTATCCGTAAGAACCATCCTCGTACTTCTAGGAATATTATAAAAAAAGAATTAGCGAAATCGGTTCAGCTGTTCTCGAGATTTGCGCTTAGCAACACATTCAGCGATTCATTTTTATATATAGGAATTATTAATATGATCGTGCTTCTTTTTGCAGTCTGTTGGGGCATCATAGGCCTCATCAGCAGTGGTAACAGGCTGAAATGATGATGATTATAAAAAAAAGTAAAGCCTATACATGTCCCACTGCTGGTCAAAGGCCTCCTCCGTATTTCTATTTTTTTTTTGTTATTTCTTCGAAACTGTGCAGGTTTCCTCACGATGTTTTCCTTCACCGCTGAGCACTTGATAATAATGATTATGTTGATGAATAATCTATTTGATATATGCAAACCATAAGAATATTAGAGAGAAACAATAACTAATCAATAAATAAATTTAAAATCAATAAAATCTAACCACTAACAGAAACGTGTGCACCACACTAACAACTTAGAGAGGACACCGTCAAGAATTATCTGTAGATCATACAATACTTGCCGTGCGGGAATCACACCTACCAGCGCAGAAACCAATAGCTTAGCAACTGAACCGCCGAGACATTATTAAGATCAACTTCCTATCAATGTAATTTTTGGAAATCTAGAACTCTTTTTGACTGTGGTTGGGTCACGCAGCATTTTTTCTTTGCGTGAATGGTCAGGCTCGTCTGGGGAAATAAGAAGGCCTTACCGAAAATCAGCGTGAAGTTAAATTATTATACTTTTGCCTTTCATCTGCTGAGTAAGGTAACCACAGCATATATGACCCCTCAGACGCGACCATGTTCCCTTGCAATTATTCAAATTAAATCTCAAATATCTAAAAAGCACATTGTTGAATTCCACTACATTCTGATTCTGTGATATTGACATCGGAAGTTCAACTCTCCAGCCATGCCTTAAATTCTTTCATTTTGTTAGAGTATTGTTTAAAAAATATTTATAGTGTATGCAATGTACAAATGTCATCGCCTGATCCGTTCTTCTCGTTTGGAACCTTAAATGTAAATGATTATAGGCTTTAGGCCACTAAAAAACCTTAAGCTACGATTTTTCTCGTAAAGTCTTCTAACTTCCTCAGTAGAGAAAGTTAGAAGACTTTCCCTATTTTTCTTATTAGTTCTCACTCTTACTTTTAGCAAAAAAACAGTGTATACAAAGTGTTTCTCTATTTCATATTTGTTTTTTTTTTCTAGAATTGGAAACTAGCGAATTAGTACACCTAAAATTTACAGCTATTTACATAATCGCTATTAAATCTTAATGCGATAGCTTTGAGAGATATAAAATTATTCAGGAAAGCGAATTCACTAAAACTACTAGAGTAGGGCGTTATTATGTCACCTACTTCCGACGTTATTCATATTATAGTGCATTTAAATAATGGCTTTGATAATACTTTTGAATCTAAAAATAGGAATCCAAATCTTACCCGCGTCATACTTCTTTAATTAACATCTTGCTAGAATCGCCTGGATATAACTTTAAACAATTAAGTAAGCTATTGTTTTTATTTTTTTTACTCAAATATGCTAAAAATAATGAATTTTATCACAAAAACCGATGACATAGCAACAATTTTATGACACTGACCCTGGGATCTTTACCGGATTCGTCGATTGATAACACAAATAAATGTAATTTTTACATTCTTGCAACAAATTCTGTTCTGTGATATGTGCAATTATATTTCAACAGTAGCGTTTGTCCGATGCAGATGAAATGTCATATATTTACCGCTGTAACCTAGAAGATTATGTGAAGTCTTGCCTTCGAAAACATTGCCTACTTACTGTAGTATAACACAATTATGTGTTGTAGCGACGTTTTACAAATTTATATGTTTTATAAATTTCAAATCGATAAAAAATCCCATTCAGTTGTCTCGCGTGGGAATCGTATCCACTACTCCCGGCGCCGAAGCCAATACCTTGGCAACTGGGCTACGGAGACATCGACATCTATTACGCGAATATTACACATCGTTTCATAAAAGTAATTTACGGACTGTTTCGCGTTTAACTATTCCAGACGTTTCGACCACTTATAGAATCTACGGTCACGGGACACTTAAAAAATCCCGTAAATTAGATTTTTTAAACGATAACTTACACAAATAACAGACGCGAATAATATAATACGCGTACCAAACACGCTCTCAAATTACTCAACACTGACATACACAAACTTTAGGCTAGAAGTATTTAATCTAATCAACGCTTCATCAAGCTTGTAAGACAACAAAGAAGTGTCACTTTGGATGTCAGAGTATAATTCTTTATCGTAAGGAATAATAAAAAATAACCTCGCTTTAATAGCATAACTGTCGTCTTAGCGTGCCAAATAATGGCAAATATAATATTTTTCTAATGTAATTTTCTCTCTCACTGCAATGTCATTTTTCGAAACCTGACGAGTTTCCCATCGCTCGACCCCTTACTTAAAAAGTTATTTGTATTACCAAAACTAAGTAAAATAAATAAAACTGGATACGGTGCGGCAGCAGTGCCATTATTTTGGTGTGACCATTTCGATTTGTGCACCGCATACAGAATCAAATGTGAACAGCATTAATTTCGTCCATAAGTTTGTTGGTTACATGTAGATAATTGCAATCGATTCAATAATCGAAGGTTCTTTTTTTTATTTAAACCTTCGTTGTTTCTGAAAGACTAGTGTTTATTGGATTTTTCCATATTCGTGGACACGTGTAACTAATCACCACGTGATCGTAATCGAGAGTGACGTCATCGTTTATTGAGCTTCTAGTTCTGAAGTACATACTACAATGTAACACTATTGTATGGCACTGAACTTGACAAACAACCAACCACGTTAAAGCAAAGGGCGATGAGTTCAGCTGGTAGTATTCCTTATCCATGCACACGCCAAGAGAGGCCATCGCCGGCTCTAGAGACGGTGATCCTTCCGTCAACTCAATCATCGCATGAAAGGCAAGTGTTTTAACTGTGGTAGAGCCACGTGGCAGCTTCTGCCGAGTAGATTGGCAGGCTCGCAGGATACTGGCTTGAACTGGATTAATTACGCTTCCGCGTTTCGTCTGGTGAGTGAGGTAACCGATGCTCACTTTTTTTCATCAATTGGCAATACATCTGCGACTCGTCAGGTGTTGTAGATTTTCAGGGCGGCTGTAATCATCAGGTGAACTACCTGCTCATTTACCAACTTTCAGATAAGAAAGTATACTAATTATAATGGCATTCTGGTGAGCCAGCTATGTATTTAATATATTCAAATTGTTTATGTACATTCTAACAGAACTAGAAAGAGTATTGGTTACCAGCAAGTTCAAGGTACAAACGTCTAACATGTAATTATACGAAACGGGTTCAAACTTCAAAAACCGAGCGTGCTTGGGATTCGATATTATACCGTCGCTAGTTTTTTATTTTAATCATATTAAAATATATTGTTTATATGAAATTGACATTCACAATGATATGACTTTGGAGTTCATGGACTAATATTACTTTCAATATATTTCCGTTTAGTTTTTAAATATAAATGTCTATTAAACTAAAGTGCTTTATGGATCTTAATTTTTTAAATTGTAAAATTACAGTATTAACGATCACATTAAAAAAGTAAAAATCATACAAATTTTTTGATTAATCTCGTGCGTTTGACAGCTAATAAAGAAAATCAATCGTCGAATAAATTTATTACTTCTCAGAATGATGACACGAAATGCTTCGCGTCATAATCATTGAAAGGCCCCATTAAATTCCTCAGAAACGAGTTTATTTATATCGAAACATTTATTTGAAAACAGTTTTAGCGTTTAAATGCAAACTGAATTAACGTCATCAGACATACCTTCAATGGCGTCTTCCTTGTCCTCGGCCATTGCGGAAAAAACTTGAGACACACGAGAATATTATTAATGAACAAGCACACAAACTTTCCACACAACAAAAACTTTGCCGAATACGCTGCGAAGTTCACGACGACGGCGGCAAACGCAAAACGCCCTCCCACGACGAGCGACCGGCGCGCACTGCTGGACGAATTTTCTTCTTGCTACTTCGAATACGTTCGCAGGAAAATACGGTTCGAATTTTGAACGGCCGATTCCAGTATAGAGTTATTATTGTTTTATTATTATCGATTTATTGGCCTTCAATCGTTTTATGGCCAAAAAGATATCGCTTCCTTTTCTCGATTGGTATACTATATGTCGACCAAACTTTAAGTTAGAACTTTTACATATTTTTCTTAGCTGTACGTTCCTGGTGGAGTGTTTAGGGATTTTCTGATAGATTGGCTTCGGCTTTTGTGAGACTTTTCCATCTCTATGTAATAAAAATATTTTTATATTTATAATAAAAAATTGTAATTATCTTTTAATCTAATAAAGTGAATCAGCTGAAATGATTCAAACAATTACAAAGACCCCAGTTTAGCACTAAACGAGCCAGTCATGATGAACAAACCACAGAGTACCTAGAAATATAGAGACATGGAGCAGACCCGCTATTCAATTCAAAATATGTTGACCTGTTTTAGTTTATGTTAAACCAAAAACCAGAATTTCTTCATTTCGACCCATATTTAAACCAATTTCAATGTCCCTCCAGTATGCTAGAATCTATGTCTGTTATTTTGACTTTGTGCATATAATTTCGAGCCGTATCTCCTTCAGCAGCGCCAGCATGTACGCTTTGAGCTCGAGACTCGAAATCTTTGCACAAATCGAGAACACCAACGCACCGTTGCGACGCAAATAGATGACATCTATAAAGATTCAGTGTCACTGTCGGTCTTTATATTGCATGCCGCTCGTAGTACTCTTGATTGCGAACCTTTTGATCTCCGCGAGCCAGCTTTGAAAGATACAACTGTCCCCGGCTTCTGTACTCTGTCGAAAGTCAGAAACGCTCTCCGATTCATAAATGGAGATGGATCTTATTTTACAAATACAGTGATAGTTAAATATTTCAAAGATATATCGAATGATACAAAACATTGAAGGTTGTTTGGGAAAATATTATTTGTGAAACTATAAATTATTTGCTTGACTTTGACTTTGGAACCAACAAATTGAAGAACTTTACTAAATGTGAATCCAATTTATTTCTGGCGTTTTTTTAAATTACATCAGCGGTAACTGAGCAACGAATTTTTATCATTGGCCCCAGGTGTGACGGCATTTCATTACTTTCCGAGCCTAAATGTTGATATGTGATGTATCTAATGTCAACCTCCAACCTTATACCACTCAGAAGGCCGTTCTCACACTATCTTTATTTCTGCCAAATTGAAATTCTGCCATGATCGTGACATACAATTACCCTAATGTCAAAATTTAATTTATTCTTCTCTTTAAATGACCGTAATTACATGACCGTAAGCTTCCGGTCTAAATTAATGTTTCCTTGAATGTTTATTTCAGAATAGCCAACAAAATTAGACTTTACTCCACGGAAATACATCAGGGCGTAGAGCCCGTTAATTTGCGAACGTCGCAATCTATTTGGTCATCGCACAAGACCGTGAATCATTCATGGTAACACAGCTATCGAGTGGCAAAGCCTAAAACGATTGCTCGCGTATTTTAACCCGAAAGGTTTTAAGAGTTAACTATAATTAGAAATTTCACCATCTTTATTATATCTTAATGTAATAGATGGCTCTAGATACTCAAGAACAAGCTATTAAATTAAAATACTCGTAATAGTCTTGCCATATCTCAGGATGAATGTTAGAAGGTGATCCTTCATGGAATCATTTTAGGATTTTTAATCACAGACCAGTTATTGCTTATATACAGTACCATCTTGCCGTGACCTCTTATTCAGCGGTCAATATCGACCGAAAAAGTCGTGGGTCAGTTTCTAGTCATCCGAACATGAATTGGCCTGGAATGATTCAAGCCCGTGATCATAAGCCCGATGTCCCCCCACTAGACACCCGCAGCCCTTGCCAGGATCTAAGCGGCGCAATTACGTTTTGGAACGACACAGCAACGATTCCCGTTATCATTGCCAAGTCTTCAATTGTTATCTGATATATCTAATTAACAACCGCTACTTTGTTGACGGAACACCCCTTGGAGCCGTCATTCACACTGACAAGTGTTTCTTTTTTGATTGGCAGTGACTCGCGATCCAAGAATGAGATTTCACAACGCCATACGTCAATAATGGGACACTTACGAATCTCCTTAAAAGAAGAAGCAAAACGTTTTAAATGTTAGGTTCAAACTGTACAATTACTTTTTCTTGTATTTCACTTATTGGTGTCATTGCGAGCAATTATTTAATTTTGATTTGAAACTCTGATTTCTACCAGAATATTAACATTTGTTAATCTTGGTTCAAGTGGTTGATTCGAATTTTATTCTAATTTTGACTTTCATTCTTCACCAATGTTTTACCAGTTCTTTCTTTACTTATATGATGTAATAGAAGTTAAGACCCACCCATGTAAAGTACAGTTTGCACCAATAAAGATATGAACAAAGAAATACTTGGTTCATAGGTACACGTAATAATAAATTGCAAGCATGAATGTAAAATTTACGACAAGAATTTCTGGTTCTTATTTCGTGAAGTATTCAGAGTTTGACGACTAAACAATTTCACAGGAAGAATCATCTAAGTTTTTTAAATATTTTTTTTAATTGTTACTGTACCTGAATGAAGTGTGCAACTGTAATATAATAAACAATGCTAAAACAATCACAAAATTATGTAGACATGTATGCTGGTTTTGCATCTCTCAAATAAACAGGATGAGAAACCTGTTTTCACTTGGCCAAGTGCGAGTCGGACTCGCGCACGAAGGGTTCCGTACCATTATCTATAAAATAGGCAAATAATCATGTCTGTTGTATGAGAGCCCCACTTAAATATGTTTTATACCGGTTTTTTATTGTTATATTTGTTGTTATAGCAGCAATAGAAATACATCGTCTGTGAAAATTTCAATTGTCTAACTATCACAGTTCATGAGATTCACTGGTGACAGACATACAGCGGAGTCTTAGTAATAGGGTGCCGTTTTACCATTTAGGTACGAAACCCTAAAAAGCATTTTATGAGTGAAAGTCTTTAAAATCATCCACAAAAAGAGATACGAGTACAAGTGCTTATAATATCGCATATCGTACTTAATAGCCTCCATAAAATACGTAGCGTCTGCCCTGGTTGTAAAAACTTTATACAAGAGTCGCTCCCTCCGACGGCTTTCAGCGGCGTCTGCGATAATTTTACTCGCACCTGCGCGACATACGGCGCGATACTAAACTATTAATAAACCACTGTCGTAAACCAAAGCCAATGTATTACGGGTGCAAATACCACGATCAATGAACCAACCACTGCTAACCTGAGTTCGATTCCGCGAAGACACCGATCCGAATAGAAGAGAACGTCATGAAAAGTGAGTCTACTATGTGAGTATTATTGAGATAATGGGTAGTTTTTTTTTTTTATATTGTTACAAAATAAATCGTGTATAGGTGAACTTTTTGCGCAAGATGTAGTCTATTTATTTATTTATATTTTACTACAACACCTTAAACAGGGAATTAAACTTACCTTAAAAACCGCAAAGAGCGGACTTATTGCCAATTGGCACTTACCAGTCAACCCTGGGCGTAAAGAAAAATATAATATGCATTAATTCGAAATAAAATTTAATATAATTAAAAATATACGCGCACATATTTATAAATTAAAGTTGCTTATACTAGATAGTTATATGAGATAGATATCCATTCTTGCGAGGCGGTTTAGAATCAACAAGTCAGAAACGTTAATTAAAGGTTGTGGTAAATTAAACTCTACATCCTGGGCTTCCACCACAAAGGGTTGTGCCATAGTTGCCACGCCTGGCAAGCGGATTGGCAACCGCAGTTCTTCTAGACGCACCTTTATAGGTGGAACAGCACCGTTATCGAATAAAAATCCACATCGATTTGTTTCTTGAGGAAATAAACCGAAAATACGTCTCCGTCAACTCCTAAGACGCTTACAGCTTCAAAGTTTAATAACTTCCCAAAGGGCCCAATCAGCGGACACAAAATTGTACTGTTTTGTTCACAGAGAAAAATAATGTACTTTAAATTTAGATACCCTTTATATACCTTAACTTTTGCCCGATCAAATCTCTCTTCTCTTTTATACATTTTTTATTATGTAGATACGTAAAATGTGTGGACCGTAAAGTTGTCCTGATTAGTAGGATACCCATATATATCTTGAAGTTGTTATATATACATAGATCTGTTTGTCAGTCTGTCTGTCTGTCTGTCACAAGGCTGTATCTCATAAACCGTGATAGTTGGACAGTTGAAACTTTCAGTTTATGATGTATTTCTGTTGCCGCTATAACAACAAATACTAAAACATAGAATAAAAAAGATTTAAGTGGGGCTCTCATACAACAGACATGATTTCATTGCCGTTTTTATAGATAATGGTACGGAGTCCGACTCGCACTTTGCTGGTTTTTCTATATGCAATATCATGGTGTAACCAGTGAATGCAAATAAAACATTATTTGCGATATCGCATGCAGTCCGTAAAAAAATTAATTTTTGTGTACATATGTGTTTTGTTTTAACAAAGAAAATTCCCGTAGTCTAAAGAGGAGAGAAATGCACAATTATTATTCATGCTAACCGCATCTCAAACTTGAATACGCAGACGATGAAAGACGGTTTTAGCAGTGAATAGACTCCCAGATTATCTTATCGCAGTATACTACAAACTCCGTTTGCAAATCCCCCACCGTCTTGCAGTGACATTGCAGATAATGGATTCCATTTAACACCGAATATCCTTAATTCTCAAGTTCCAAACAAAAAAGCTTTCACTATAATAAAAAGGCCATCGCGGCAAA